AGAATGTTAATAGCAGACCAAAGGTTGTTTTGAAGTTGCTGTAAATGGATTTTAGTAGAAGTACCAAGAATCTCAGGGTCATTAATTCTTTGTTGAAAGCAGGATATATGATGTTGTAGTTGAATATCCCAAATATTATATATATTAAATATATGAGGATTAAGCATAGTGCTTTTAGGACTGATACAAGAGAGTTTTGCTTTATGTTTGATCATAGTAAGGTATTTGGATAAAATGCAATCACAAGTGAAGTGTTTAAGAATGATATTATGTAAACTGTATTCAATAGTAGGAATGATTACAGTATTAGTAAAATAGATAGCTTGTTTGTCTATAATCATTTTTGTGCCAGTAAAATTGATAAGCTGGATTGTTTCATCATAAATTAGTTGGCTTTGTTTTGTATATGAATTATTAAGAGTGAACCAACATTCTAAAAATTTGAATAGTTGGTTATCAGGAATTGGTGTAAGTGATAAGCTAAAAAAGTGGATAGGAGCTGTAGATAATGTTTTTGATATAAGGATTGATTTGGTTGGATTAATTTGATTGTCACTATAAATTACTAAATTACTAAATTATACTATATATATATAAATTACGTATTATTAGCTTTATACTTTTATATAGTACAATATAATTTTTTTTTGCATTTATATAAATAATGATAAGAAAAAAATTTTTTTTTTTACAAAGCAAAAATAAGAAAAAACATAGATAAAACTGAAATCAATATAAATAAAAATAATAAATTATATAAATATACAAAATGCTGAAAGTTAATACTTATAAATAAATTTATTAAAAAAAATAATATCTTAAATTTTTGTGAATTTTATCAATAACAGTCTTCAGACTATTATAAAGCTTCAATCAAACATGAAAATGATGTATTATTTTTTGAAGAAATGGCAAAAGAACTTTTTAGTAAAATTTCTGTAGTTGTATCTAACAAATATTTTGAAAATAAATCAGACTAAGATTAATTTTAAATTAAGTATTATATTGGATGATTTTAAAGATAAAGAAGATACTTTACAAGAAATAGCAAAAAAAATCATGAATTTGATAGGTGATAGTAATAACTATTACTACTTTTATTTTAATTGTTATAATTAAAAAAAAAAACAATGAATTACATACATTTCAATATTAATGTTCACAATGTTAAAGTTTATCAAAAAAACCTCACAAGTATCAAGATCCTAAATGTTATAGAGATTATGAATAAATTAAACATTTTAATTGTAGTGGTATACTTAGAATTTCTATAAATATGTTGATCAATAATGCATCTATTTATCTTAAACATGACATACTTCACCAATAATCTAAAAGAAATCAAGTTATAGAAAAAATCAAAAATAAGATCAAAACCAACTTTTCTTTAATGCCAAGTGATATTTTTAAAAGGTTAAAACATGATTATTTTGAAATAACCCAAAAACAAATCTATGTATAGTAGAAAATATTTATTAAAAAAATTTTATTCAAGATATAAATTAAATAAAATTAACAAAAATTTTTTAGAGAAATATCATTATCAAATTGTTTTGTTTAATGATAATAGAATTATATTTTTAGGTTTTGTTACACATTTTTTGAACAATTTAAAAAAAAACAAAGAAATTTTTGTTGTGCAATCTATAAAACCAATAAGTTAGGACATGAGCTTTATTTAATAATTGGGCAATATAATGGAACAGAATTTGCATTAGCTTAAGGAAGATAAACAAGATGGTATGCAAACTAAAGTTTTAGTTGATTTTTTTTAAAAATATTATTGGATTTTGGATTGGACCAACAAATTTATATATATATTGACAAAGATCTTCTCAGATCTTAGTAGCATGAAAAGCATAGCCAGATATTAAATACAACTTTGTTATTGGCACTTTAGGAAAGTTCTTAAAAAATAATTTATTGATAATACTTTATCTCAAAAAATAATATATAGTTCATACAATGCACATAGTACATTTAATTTTATAAATATTGGATTTTATTCAGAAATATCAGAAAAAAACAAGTCTAAAATAACTTTAATAATAGAATGTTATATGCACCTGCATCTACTTATTTCTAATTCAGCAGAGGTTTTCATAACACAAGAAGAAATTTGAACACAATATACAAGAGAAATTTATAAATTTTGTGTCAATAATGATCTTAAACATGTTTGGTCACATATGTGGCAAAATTGATATTGTAATAAACTTTGGCCATTATAGGCATGCTCATTAATATCAAATCAAATTTGCATTTTTTGTACTACAATATTAATTGAGTTATACTAAAAAGTTGTTAAGTGTAATTTTTTACCAAGTTTTTTAGACTATGACTGAATTTTGTAATTTATATTCTTATTGCATAACTTGTACTACATTACTAGCAACAATATTACAAGTATAATCATTATTATGAATTGTCTTTATGGTGCAAAAAATTTAAAAAAGAATAAAATATATTGAAGAAAAAGGATATTAAGCATACTTATTTGACTAATACTGACAACTGGTTCTGCAATTGCATTGAATTTTTAATGAATTAATTTTTTTTATACAAACACCTTATTCAATCATCTTCTTTTATTGTTGATTCATTTTTTTTCATAAAATTTAACAAAAAGATACATATCCATTTATAAGCTTACTAACTTAAAAAACTTCAATTCATAGACCATTACTATTAATATCAAATAATTTATTAGAATCAGCATTAAATTATATATCTAATAGTTTATTAAATATGAAATATATAGCAATAAATTTTTAATAGCACTTAATTAACTTTAATTAATATCAATATACATATTAGATAATATTGCTATAGTAATAATTAGTAAAAGTCTGGCCAACTGTTTGAAAATTATAAATTAATTCTAAAAAATATACTAATAATAGTACAAGAACAATGTAAAGCTAATAATGTCAAATGGGCATAAGCTGTTGAAAAAAGCTTTAAAAGGATTAGTAATATAGTAACAGATACCAAAAAATATAAATGAAAGATAATGAATCCAAGAACATAAAAAGATTATAATAAGCATACATGTTCTTATAACTTTATAAAGGATTATTTGAGGTAAAAATTTACCATACATGTTATATAAGTTAAAATTTATATATTCACATATTGTTTTTTTATTTAGGTTAATAAGCTAAAATTTCTTGCACATATAGGTTTTGAAATATATAAGCCTTATATAAAACCTTAGTATAACATGTAACTGCAAGCAAAATAAAAGCTTCACAAATGAAAATTAATAAAGTAATTTTATTTTTGGCTAAATTTAAGACAGAATATAATTTTGTTAGATCTTTATTACATATTTAATTATATGCATATACTTTAGTTTGATCTAAAATCAATATGTGCATAATTATTATTTAAATTAAAATTCTAAGCTGGTTTAAAAGTTATATTAACTAAATAATAAAAATATTCTTAGTAAAGATATTGTGTATCTGAAATTAGTAAATGTTTAAATTAATTATTGTTTACTTGAAACTTTTTAAGAATTGTTGGTAACAGAAGACTTACAAGATTTTAAAAAGCAATTTTTTTTAATAAATTTATTTATAGATATTAATCTTTAGTATTTTGTGCATTTTTGTAATGTATTATTATTATTCATATCAGTTTTAATTATGTTCTTTGTACTTTGAGAAAAAAAAAATTTTTTATTATTATTAACAATACAGCTATTTTTAATGTCAATAATAAGAGTAATTCAAAAAAAAATTGATTATTTGATAATTATATCGATTATTGCTTATTATTTAATATTACATAATTGTGCAAAAAATTGAAGATGTTCTTTAAGTAGTAGCTTATTATATAATATTATATGATTGTGCAGAAAAATTAAAAGTGTTCTTGGAATAGTATAATATTACCACTAACAATGTGACTGTAATAACCCAATTAGGTTACAAATCTCATAAATGGAAGTTTGTCTAATTGGCTAATAAATTTAATTTAATTTTACATTATTTATACAATTAGAGTACTTTTTAAAAAAACAAAACCCAACTATAATAAAATAAAAAAAAAACATATAAAGGGGTTTATTGGAGTTGTATAACTTTATGGCCAAAAATAAGATCAAATTCTTGTTTATTTAAAAAAATTAGCTTATTAAAAATTTGATTTTATCAGGTTTTAGAAGGTATTACTATACTAATCTTTTTAAACAGATGAGAATTAGATCTTAATTTTGGCTATGAAGTTTTACAACTCTAATGAACTCTTCTATATGTTTTTTTTACTTTATTATAGTTGGGTTTCATTTTTTTAAAAAGTACTCTAAACTGTATAATAATATAAAATTAAATTGAATTTGTTAGCCAATCAGATAAACTTTTGTCTATAATCATGAATTAGAATTAAGTAAAAATACGACATATTAACTGGTCTATTAATGTAACTATCAATAACATTATGCTATATGTAAATAAATCATAGTGAAAAATAAGCTCTTAACTCATAGAAGGTTTAACCTCTAGCTCAAAATTTTGTAATAAAAAAAAATAACATATATATATACAATAAAGGCACTAATAATAATAATAATAATATAAAGATCAGAAGTAGTATAAGCAAGAACACTGCTTTTGATACTAGTAGAACAAGGCAGATGCATGCTCAACTAAAGATTCACTAATCAACTATGACTTTTTCAAAGTTAATAGTCAAATTAAGACATACATTAATACTGCATAGTAAGAATCATTAAACATAATAATTTCAACAATTAAAGTATATATTAATTAAAACAATAAGGCACAAAAGAATATAATTACTAATTAAATAAATGTTTAGATTTATATTTTGATAAATTCACAAACTTACTATTGACATAACTTCAGTTTGTAACAAAATAGTATTTTTAGTTTACTACAAGATAAGTTCACTAGTAAAGACATATAAGTTCTTAGAATTAATTTTGCTAAAATGAGAATTATTTTTTGTAGTATTGTTTTTAATATTGTTACTATTCAAAGCTATTAGTAAAAGGTCTTTAAAATTTTTATCTTTTTAGATCAAGTTTAGTGCATGGAATAAGTCTAATTAAGGGTTCAAAATTGATTTACTTAATAGTTATTGCTATATACTTGATAGAAATTTTTTTCATTTTTTGTTCAATTTTAGTAAAATAATTTATGAAAAGAGTTATTTTAAAATAAATTTATTTAAAGTAAAGAGAAAAAATTAACTAATAAAATTTAAAAAATTATAGTAATTATTATAATTTTATTAATAAAATTATAAAAATATTATAATTCTTAAAAATTAATTAATTTTATCTTTATGTTTTAAATAATATTATTATATATATATAATTATATTATACTAGGATATATTTACTTTATATTTTTTAATTTAAAAAAAAATGCTTAATTTTTAAAATTTTTAATTAGAAATTCAAATTATATATTTTTTTTTAAAATATAAAAAATATAAAATAAATATATCAATATAAAAGATTTTTATATATTGTCGTATTACAGATTATATCAACTTTAAAATTCCCTATTCATAGGGTAGACGAATGTCTCTCATATAACGTCAGACAACTTAGTACTCAAAAGAGGTGTGAGATTTGGGCGAGTACTAAGGGTAAGTGTATCTTTATTTACTATACTGCAAGACCTGCGAGACTTGTTTTTCTTACATTACTAACACATTACTTATATACTTTTCTCTATAAGCTAATTACACTAATTATGCTATCTATGCTAATTATACTAATTACACTATTTATGCTAATTACACTAATTACACTAAATACACTATATTCGCTATATCTATTGATTACACTAATTGCACTAAATCTACTAATTACGCTAATTACACTGCATCTGCTAATTATGCTCTGTATATGTGCTATATCTAATAATTACTGTATATTAATATTTGCTTATACGATCTAATTTAAATGAAATATCGACGATCCTTTTTTAGATCATGACAATAT